TAAATGAGCTAAATGTATTGATGCATGTGTTGTTGGTCTGTGGTTGCTTAATGTACTTTTCTGTGAAATAAGGATGCATTTTCTTTTCTGGGTTTATTTAAAGGTTTTTCACCTAATGGCTAATAGCAAATAACTGATGATGAATTGCACTACTGGATCTGCACAATAAAAAGCTGTGCAGTCATTAAGTAGAATCCAACAAAGGTTAAAATCAAGGGCAACTGGACTTGGTTGAAGATACTAGAAGACGTTTCGTCCCTCATCCAAAGGACTTTTTTCAGTTCTGACTGACTGGCTACTGTACTGTATATTGAGGAGACTAAACAACCACTACACAAACGCATGGCTCAACACAGAAGGGCCAACTCCTCAGGTCAAGACCACCAGGTGCACATTTTAGACAGAGAAGATGGATGGTTTGAAAGAGGTGTCAAGGAAGCCATCTACACCCGGGTCGAGAAGCCGTCATTGAACAGAGGAGGGGGGTCTACGACACCACTTATCCCCCACTTACAATGCTGTCCTTTCATCACTTCCCAGGAAACTCAACAAACGTAACCTATTGGCCTCAGGTGAAGATACCAACGATGGTCGTTCAGTCTTGGCCACAGGTAGTCTTAACGACTGTAACGACTGTAGTCACAGCAACAAGGAACACTAACCAACCAGCGGTATCGCTCGGTATTTTTTGAGAATAGGGTACAGAATAACATTCTGCTGGTGAACGAGCTATTCAATGGTGAGGGGCGACTTTTCTCTTATAGAGTTTTTCTTAACATACAATATTCCAGTGACGTCGAAAGAATTTGCAGTTGTACTTGACACCATTCCTTCAGGCACAATAATGCTTTTTAGAAATATGGACAGACCTTCTACTTCCATCTCCCTCCCCAGTGTGGCTGAATCACCAGTTGGAAAAATCTGTTTGTCTCAACCTCAAAATAATAAGAACATTCGTGCCTTGTTTCAGAAGAAATCTATTCCACATCTTATATCATATTGGAACCCATTTGTAAATGATATTGACTGGAAAAAGTTTGGATGATTCCTCACAAATACCTGATTGTAAACAAGGTGGAGGAAGTGTTGTATGCTGTTAGGTATACCTCTTTATACCATGTGAACTGTTTTCCTCTGTTGGCAAAAAGAAACAAATGTCACAGCATTGGTGACTGTGTGGTTGACGTGTCAGTTACTTATTCAGTTCAAAGTGGCTGACTTCCGGTTGGGTTTAAGGTATAGTTCTCAAAAAACTGCTTCCTGTTTCATGACAAATAATTGCTCACCAAGGCAAAAGCATTGACAATAACTCACAAGCTTCATAATGCAACATATTAAGGCCTTATAGCTGCAGAATTTTGAGATGGGTGTGGTCAACCTGCTATGGGGAGCATATTTATGGACATTTATGTACGTTCGGTAGGGGCTGCTTTGTTGAAATTTTGTAGGGGCCGCCATTGAGCCAATTTTTCACAACCGCGCCCCCAAACCATATAAGACAATAGTTGCGTTTGACGTCATGCAGCACTGCGCAGCACTGACTTAACGTGATGCATGCTGGACTTAACATAAGGCAGGCTGGTTAGAAATTGTGTCCGACTTTTAGGTGGCACTGCAAAAGGTCTCTATGTCACATGATATTAAAACCTTGCGGGAGCAAGGTGGCTGCAGGCGCCGGCGGCCACAGTTGCTTTTCTCCGGCTGCACAACATTGGAACCACACTTTTGCCTGGTCTCGCGGCATTTTTCTTTGCAAATGCAGCGAGATCAGTCATTGATCTCAGCTCACAGTAAGCTCAAGCAGGTAGATTGTGTCTGACTTGACGGCGCCATTTTTATTCCCCACCCCTGCAGTCGCATGCAGCTCACATTAGACTATCAAGTTACTGAAAGTCAGCCGCAGTCATCTCGAATGCACCTAATAAAAGACAAACCTTCTGACGTGTGTGCCAAGTCTCGTGAGGTTTAGAGCATCCCTCGACATGTGAAGGCTATTTAGGGGGAGCTTTAGAGCCAAAGTGCAACCCCCAATCCCAAACATGACATCATATTGAAACATTATCAGTTTAAGTGTGGCTGCAAAGTTTTGTCCTTGTCATCCTAAAGCTGACAAACATCTGTTTGAAAAAAAATTTTAAATGACGCAGGAAGTGCAAAATAGCTGACTTCCTGTTGAGCAAAATCTCCTAAGAGAAACAAAACGTGTTTTTTATAATGACAGCAATAGTCACACCAAATATCATAAAGATCAAAGAAACTTTGTCCAAAACATTGTGTGTGTTTAGTGGCGCTATTGAGCCCTCTGGCCACGCTCGACCCCAGTCACCGCAGAACTTTTCCCACCAGACCAGAGGTGTGTGCAAATTTTTCTGAGGATTCGAGTATGCTAAGACCATGAAAAATTGTTTCCCGGGGAGAAAAAAAATCTGAGCAAAAGCACTTTCGCGCTCGGGCCCTAATTAAAGCAGAAAGTAGTGCTGAACAGGCCCGCGCCTCTACACCGCAGGCCTGCTGACACGGCTCTGAAGTTTTTTCCACTTAATTTAACATCAGCTTGAAAGCAAATAATTTTTTATTGTAAATAAATTCTAGTGAGTAGTAGTCAGTGTTTAGCTTTACGCTCTGGACTGTTATGCACAAGCTCTGGCATCCACGCTCTGGCGCGAATCAGTCAGTTGTTAGGAAAGACAACGAAACGTCTCTGAAGTCTTGCTTTTACAGAAGAAAAAAATGGCTTTCATTTAATATTCATTTAGGCCCCTTGCATTGAGTGAAAAGAAACAGAAAAAATTAGAATCAACAGTGAACAGTGAATTTGCTCATAGACTAGTCTAATGCAAGTTAGACTGTTTCATAAAAATAAAGACTGACATAGTATAGACCAGAAAAATTAGACAACTTTTCTTTTTTTAAATTCTATGTTACATTGGTACATCAGTTACATTACAAACAGCCAAAAAAAAAAAAAAGGCTCATAATTTGTGGTTTGCTGAAATATTATCTGATATTAGCTTTCAAGCTAAATGCGCGTCATATAACGCTCGCCAAGCAGCTAGTCCGATATGCCCTTAAAAACACCGGTGGAAAAACAGTGAGCTGCAGCACACATCTCTCCTCTCCCTTCCAAACACTAGCTAGTCAGTGGACATAAAGTTGTTACTGTGATGTAGAGACAGAGCTCTGTTAAAGAAGTGGTATTCTGCTTTTTGGCTTTTCTTTTTTGTGCATGTAACAGGTCATAAAGCTTGCCAAGCGGCTAGCGGGTCAGGCACGCCCTCAAACCAAGCTAGTCTGAGCGGAGGCCCTTTGGCTCGATTCGCCTTTGTTTGGTTTTCCATTGTAGAAATGTTGTACCTGTACCTACTTCCAGGTACTTTTTTTCGTATCACCTCACCTCTGTCCAGGTTCCAAGCGAGCTGAGGGATACTAAAATGTAACGTGAAAACAGACAGACTGCTGATTGGTCAGAGAGAATCACTATTCACTGCATCATCATTGCGTGCACCAGACAGAGGCCAGCAACAGAAAGTTTTATATTTTACAGTTTTGTATGTAATTTCATCACTAAATCCACTTCTGAGATGTTTTGAGGTGAGAAATCAGCTGTGTAGATTTCCAATATTGACAGTTTTACAAGAAGTGATGGCGGAACAAAAATGTGCTTGAATATTTTGGGAGTTGAGGAGCTCCGCAAGTGGCTGCGGGGGAAGCCTGTGCCGACCCACAGGAGGAGCGCATGAGGCCGGCCAGCCGCCCGCTCACAGAGTCCTCTGCTCCCGCCGTCACACAGACCGCTGCAGCAACAACGGCAGAGGAAAGCACAGCTGGAAGGTTGAAATGTTTTAACTTCAAAAAGAGAAAGCTGTGTGGATCACTGGTGTGTGTGTCGCATTGAACATTACGTCGCGGCAGTTGTGTGTGGCGTCGCTATGACTACAAGCTACGTACTATCTCTGGATACTGTCTGCAATGGAAAACGGAGCAGGGCGAGTAGAGTCGAGTCTATCGATTTGCGCTATGGTAGCATTTTTCGGCAAGGCAGCATAGATCGTCAGAACACCGGCAACAGTTCAACGTTTAGTCCTAATGGTAAGATGTGGAACAATGATGTTGTGTGGTTGTGGACTTGTGAGTAATTTATACCATCTGCTCAGTTACAGTCGCAGTCTGAAGCGGCTTTGATTTGGATCACACTACCTTGTTTCTTACGACCCGCCCTTCTCTGCTTCTGATTGGCTAGTAGTCCTTACTTAAGTAAGATGCATCACTCTGTAGCTAAAGAGCGGAGCGTACAACACACAGGGTGAAAAGTGGAGCTGCAGCAATGTGCAGTATGAGAAAAATATGGTGTTTTTTGAAAATTAAACCATGTAAACCTGTTCTGGTACAACCCCTAATTAAGATTTTGAACCTGAAAATGAGCATAATACCATGTCTTTAACTCTATGGATGAAAGATCCTTTTGTTACAGATTAATAACTCACCACTCTGAAACTCTTGCTCCAGTTTAATGTTGCCAAGCTGGTCGGCAACATGTAGCCTACAGCTGAACTGAAGCTGTTTACAGTCTTCTCACTGACCCACCCTTCTCTGTTTCTGATTGGCTAGTAGTCCTGAACCAGGAACTGCGCATGTGCACCTCCCAACAAAGACCATTTAGAGACAAGATGTATCACTCCATAGCTAAAACGAAGCCTTCAACACAGGGTGAAAAGAGGAGCTGCAGCAATGTGCAGTATGACAAAAATATGGTGTTTTTTTTTATTAAACCATGTAAACCTGTTCTGGTAGAACCCCTAAATAGGATTTTGTACCTAAAAATGAGCATAAAACCACCTCTTTAAGGGTGAAAAGGAGTGGAATCTCTCTTGGACATGGCATTAGCCAACGGAGAAAGTCCGGTTAACCAAAAGCTACAACCCTCACTGCTATTCAGAACATTAGCAAAACTGAATTTTCATTAAACATGATATTACTGTGTGTATATTCAAAAATCTTACCCCATACACCAGCTCTCCCACCATACCATTCCAGATCTTGGTTTCTGCATCTCTTGCTCCGTATTTGCCATCTCCCACAATCCTCAGCTGGTAGCGTATACCACAGTGCTTTGCAATCTCCGCAGCCAAGTCAACACAATAACCTAACATCAGTCAAAAAAACCCAAAGAGACACATCAGCAGTGCTAGACAAACGTCCTACAATAACAACAGAATGTGGAACTGAAGTGTAAATTAGGGCTGGATGAATAAATAAAAGTAATCGAAACCGAGATTCAGAACCTCTAACTGACAATGTAAAACTGTGATTTTACCACGTCGTTTATTTTGTTCTTTTAATCCTGTTAATATTTCCCCACTGTGTTCATGTTGAGGTGCGTGTTTAGTCAAGTGACTCCGCCCCGTCCAGTCCTGCTCAGCTTCCAGACCGGAGTTTGAAGCACAGGGAGATGCTAGCTAGCACTAACCACCTTCATTTCTCGGCAGTTCGGGAAACAACAGACATTTTGACCATCACTTTCTCAGATTCGCTCACCCACACAATGTACACACACACACATTCCACAAATGTTCAGGTCAAATGTTAAATTAATTGTGATTTTGATTTTAGGTCATATCATCCAGCCCTATGTGGAATACTTCAAAAATTGCACATAGATAATCAGCAGGTACCCACTAAAGAATTACTGGGTATGGTTTTGACATACATTTTTAAAAAGTGTATTATGAACATATTCTTTCTGAGTATTGTGTGCAAGAATTGTATGAAGATGCACATTAGTTTTGAAGCTGTATGATGGTCCTACATTAAATTGCGGCATTAGCATTGTTGTTATTTATGACCCTATATAGAGTTAACCATAAAATATAACAATGCTACTCAAAGCACCTTTTCATGGCTTTAATAAACACATAAGTAAATGAAATAAAAAAGAATATTGACTATCATTAAACAAACACACAATACTGTATATAAACATACCTTCGTAACGGTCATTGTCTTGAAACAGCTCTGCATTCTTTTTCAGCATCACATAGGGGCTTCCTGCATTTACACACAAAAACCTGTTAGGGTGATTCTCCTGCCATATATTTTCTGTTAGTAGCTGCTCATGTCTGAGCTCTGTTTATACTGAAATCCTCCCACCAGCTTGTGTATCTTAGCTCATTTCCACTGTCACTGTTACATTAGTAGATGTTTGCATATTCATGGTGACAATATCACTTCATTTATTAATTACCAGTATAGTTGTAACGATGACGGTCTTGTTTTCCATTCCCATGGTGTCGTTAGGGTAAAGATCTGACTTTGTCACCACCATCTTATCCACCTCATTCCAATAGCCAATCTAAGAACAGACACCAAACACAGTTAGGTCAAATATCTCCACCTAGCCACATAGCTACATGCTGTGGTCATGATGGCAAACTGATTCTTGACTTACCTTTACAGGTCCGTTGTTCTTCAGTTCCATGATTGTCACTGAGTAGTTGATTCTCTTCCCGTATTGGTCAAACTGAATGTTCCCTGTTAAACCATCTACACGCACCTACACACACATACATTTTTACTTTAAATGTGTAGTGAAAGTATTAGGTTTCAGGTCTTGCATGCCTACACCCT